ATTTGTGTTAACAAACATAACAATAATAAACGTTCATTGTGGTAAATGAAATAATAATTTCTAAATCTAAGTAAGAATTTCTTTTCTTCCCGATTTGTCAAAAATCCTTATGTGATAGAAAAAAACTGAATGTTATTTTCGAAGTCTGCGTAGTTGTATCGGAACCCGGTTTCTAGCGTTTTAGGTCCGCGGACATGCCGCTGTGTCACTGGGGGGCATGTCTGCGTGTAAAATTGTAAATCTAATAAGCAAACATTTTAGCTGTATGGTTGAATAGGTACGTTAATACAAAACATCTGTGGACAATCGCGAATAAGCAAACAATAAAGGGAAATATTGCCTGTAAGTAAATGCTACGAGGAAAGAAGGTAACATGAAGGAAGAGATACATAATGTACCTGATCCTCTTATAGGTCTCATACCTATAAAACATCGATCCAACTTCCGTATCTGCGATTCTCAATTTGCAAGCTAAATTCTATTGTACAAAATTGCCTAATTTACTTTCGATCTTATCTTTTTAAAAAACCTAGAAAATAACAATTCGAGTAAAAAAAAATGAAATACTATGAAGGATAATATGTGTGAGACAACTAATGTTTGCTTTAGTTGGATACCAAATGTACTTAAACTGAAAATTTAAAGAAATATTTGCACGTAAAGAGCTCAAGCGCTGAGAAAATAACGAAAAAAACAGTTGAAATTTTTGCTAAATATTATTTGTTCACACGAGACACGATTAAAAACAATATGGACTTACAACGCTAGAAACCGGGTGGGCACAACACAGATAGCCCATTGTATAGCTTTGTGCTCAATTACAAACAAACAAAAATATTCATTTCTTTATACTTCTATGGCATGACCAAGTGGTTAAAGCGCTCGACTCCTTGTCCCACCAAACGTGCTTGCCCTTTCAGCAGTGGGGGCGTTATAATGTGATGGTCAATTCCACTATTCGTTGGTAAAAGAATAGACCAAGAGTTGGCGGTGGATGGTGATGACTAGCTACCTTCCCTCTATTGCTTCACTGCTTAATTAGGGACGGCTAACGCAGATATCTCCTCGTGTAGCTTTGCGCGAAATTCAAACCAAATCCTAAAAAAAAAAAGTCTTCTTCTCCAAACAAAGTTATACCTCCACTTTGATTGGTAATTCAATCTAATCATTATAGACTTTAGTTTTCTTGTTTATTGATTAATGAAATAGAGTGTTTCTGATCTGCTTGTTATCCTAGATTGTCTTCATCAATATATAAGCTATTTTGAATTATTTTGATTCTGAACTGTCTGGCTGATTCACTTTACTGCAGAACTTTTTAGTACTTAGTAATGACAGATTTATAATTCGAATTTTGTTCTGTCGCTTTTTTATTTTGTTTTGTTACAAATGTTTATGAATTTTACAGCACAATTATGTTACAATATATCACAATCAATATTTTAGTAGACAACGGTACTATGTGCTTGCTACCTCCTTAATTCTTGTGTATCTTTTTACTTATTGTTTTTTTTTAGAATTTATAGTTTGGACGCAGGGAGGCACTCCAAGTAACATTTTAACATTTTTCTCTTTTGAGAGCATGCAACTTGTGGGTTTGTTAAATGACAATTATGCGACTTTCTTGCGAGGAAGATGGCTATCTTTCGTCTCGACGAATCAGATAAGGGACAAAGACAGCCACGTCTTAGAGCTCAACTCCCGATAGGCACAGATCTTGGAGGCGAGGTACGTTTCGTGTGCAAACTGGGCTTTGTTTGTGTATTTTGTTTTTGTATATAAATCCAAACTTGTTCCTGTGACAACGACTTATTATAGCTTAAGAACTTTCTTTTAATCTACTTTAAGTTTTAAATTGGGAATTTTTTTTTTTGTTAAGTTAACTAACTTTTGTAGCTTTGACTTTAAATTTTCCTTGTGAGTTTTGGTTAGAATAATTTGATTTAGATTAAACTGAAAAGTTTAGTCGTTTTATTAGACAATGGTTTAACACTCTCTAAAATCTTGGATTTTACTTCAGTTTGTTTAAGCATAGCTTTAGGATTCTTCTGGTTTACGGTTTTAGTTTGTTTTGTATTGTATTTTTTTGCAATAGCATTATTATATTATATTGTGTTTTTGTAATAGTATTATTATATTGTATTGTGTTTTTGTGAATAAACATTTATTTACTTGTACTTCTATTAGTTTCGAGTCTTTCTTTTCGAGGATCCTGGTTGTAGATGAGAGAAATCAGCATATACCGTTATGTGGTATTTATTTTCTAAACCTTCAGCCCCCCAGTGGCACAGCGGTATGTCTGTAGACTTACAACGCTAGAAACCGGATTTCGATACCCATGGTGGGAAGACCACAGATAGCCCATTGTGTAGGTTTGTGCTTAACTTCAAACAAACAACCTAAACCTTAAATTAGTGAGCCTAACTGACTGGTCTATAAAAAAATTTATTTAGAAAGAAAAATCCACATTATTTTCTTTGCTAAACATTTGCAGCCAAATATAATTAAAAGAAAACTGTAATTAAGACGTTGACAAACTAAGAGAGAAACACGAATATCAAATGTTTTTAAAAAAATCTACCATTTTTTTATAAGCTGTCAGAAAATTATTAATATTTTTTCCTGAATATGGTAAAATACTTTTTCACACTACCATATGACAAATTATGATTAAAAATTACATAAGAAGATGCAATGTGCTTAAACACAATTTTCTATTAAACAATTGCTAAAAAAACATAAGTAAAAAATTTTAAGAAGAAAAATATGAATACAAATGTTTCTAGGCGTGTTTTAAAGTTAACATAAAAACTGTAATTTTAATTTTTTTTTGTCATAAATTCTTTATAATAATTATATTCAACTTCTAACACTAAATAATTTAAACAACTTGATAAGTTTTATATTTTCTTCTCCAAAACGAAAATGGGGCTACTGCTAGTGAAAATATCCGCAACTTTCAAATGTTTTCTTTAATCTTTTATTTTATATAGCTGTCACATTAATGATTTTACATACATATATATAGCTGTTGGTGATTTTTTTTTACTCTCAACACAATTTTCTTTTACAAACTCAAGCAAATAAAAAGTAAAATTACCATAAACATGGTTGCTTTATAAATTTTTTATCTAGTGGTAGTGACAATTAGTCTTACCAACGAAGAACCTGTAGGGACCGGCAAGGCCAGGTGGTTAGGGAGCTCGACTCGCAATCTGCGGGTCGCGGGTTCGAATCCCCGTCACACCAAACATGCTCGCCCTTTCAGCCGTGGGGGCGTTATAATAATGTGACGGTCAATCCCACTATTCGTTGGTAAAAGAGTAGCCCAAGAGTTGGCGGTGGGTGGTGATGACTAGTTGCCTTCCCACTAGTCTTACACTGCTAAATTAGGGACGGCTAGCGCAGATAGCCCTCGTGTAGCTTTGCGCGAAATTCAAAAACAAACGAAGAACCTGTAAATTATTAAATAGCTTTTATTGCAATACTTCACACTGAACTTATGATTCTATCCCCAGGTGGTCAGCAGTAAGTTTACGGACTTACAACACTGGAAACTAGGGTTCGATTTCCCTCGATGGATAAAGCTTATAGCCTATTGTGTTGCTTTGCGTTAAAAACAACTAATAATACTATTTTAGTTGTTAGCCAAGAACCATTTAAATTGCTTTCGTTGACATTCCTAAATTTAATACGTGTTGTTCAAGAAAAGAATGGTTAGTTAATAACATCTAAAATAACATTAACGATTACACTGTACCTTTTTTAAAAACAAAGTTAGTAACGGCAGAAGTTTTAACTATTTTCGTACAATGCGATTTAAAAATGTCCTTCACTCGAAGGCTGGGTTGTCATCTGTCGGCAGAATGTCAAATTTTATACCTCAATTTAAGTCGATCAAGGTAAAGAAAGAGTTTTTATAAACGGATACAAAACATTCTGTATAAACTTAAGAAAGAAAAGAAAATATAGAGTTTTTTCATCTTCTGTCCTAAACTAATGTACTTACCGTGTAACATTGTTCGAAAGTTGTATATGTTCTTTACTTCGGACAAATTTATAGTTCAGCAAAGGATCGCCACACTGATGCGGAGATTTAAACTAGCCTAGACTAGATTTGTTTTCGTTGTCATACTAATGAGTGAAACATTCTTGGGACACTGATTCCTCTTACCTCAATCATTTGGAAAATAATGTTATCATGAGGATGATCTATTGGTTCCACAGATAGCCCTTATTCTAATGTTAGTTCCCTAGAATCACATTTTGTCTGCAAAAAGAGCTTCTTATACAAAACTGAAGAAGTTATTTTGGTGTTCTTATGAAATAAAGGATTCGTTTAATAAATCGTAGCAATATACAAGCAAAATTTGGTACTTGCATGTGAAGTTTTCTTTTTTCGTATATTTTATTATTTTGTTTGCAGTTAAGCACAAAGATACACAATGGGCTATCTATACTGTAAAACGCATAAAATATTAAATTAATTTTGTTTGGTTTCGAATTCGTAAACTGACCATCATTTTACTAGCAGTTTGAAGTATTTAAATATAAGTTGAAAAACAAAAGTTCAGACTTAACAAATTGAACTTTATGTACTAGAAAAAAGAGAGAGAGACTATTTAAATATAAAACATCAATATAATCGCCATATACCATGTTGGTATATTTGGTATGATCACCTTTAAACTGCTTCCCCCTTTAAAAGCGATTCATCACATTTTTATAAGCCTCTTAACGAGATTCAACAATTTATTCTTTCCAATCGGAAGTATCTCCCAGTGGCACAGCAGTATGTCTGCGGACTTATAACACTAGAAACCGGGTTTCGATACCCGGTGTGAGTAGAACACACAAAAAGCTCTTTGTGTAGTTTTGTGCTTAACTTCAAACAAACCAATCGGAAGCTAATGCAATGAGCTACAATGTTTCGTCAAGATGTACCTTTTGGATAAAGTAAGATTGAAATTTGAATACTGACATTTTCAGTATTATGGGTCATTAATTACACACGTCTGTGAATTTAAACTTCATAAAAGTTGTTTTGGTTTTAATAACGGATTTTCCATAATTCAGCTATGCAGATTTCGAAAATAATATTTTTTTATCACGTAAGGAATTTTTACAAATCGAGAATTAAAAACTAACTTAGATCAAATTATTATTTCGTTTACCACAATAAACAAGTTTTATTATTATGTTTGTTAACAAAAATATAAACAAACTGAAGAAAAGGGAAGAACATTGATATCAAACGAATATGCATCCTCATTCATTCAGATTTTTTTTTTGTGTGAAATCTACGTCTTTTAGTCTCAAAATTAAGTGTTGTGGTATTTCTTTTATGTATTGCGTTATGACATTTTGTGAAAAATCTGTACGCGATGAAGAAAAATGGATATAATTTTCAGATTCAGCGTACTGGGAGTAGTGTAGAACATGTAAAATTTTCAATACGATAAAACCATCGCAGGTCTGTGTTATCAGCCACAATTAATATCCAACCGATGCCGCCACATACGATGACGTATTCTAGCCCTAACGTATGGAAACAAATCGTAATAAATAAAGGTTACGGTCTTCATCTGAAAGTGCTATTGATAATTAATTTGATTTTAATATTGAAAGAACATTGCAGACTGTGATAAAGATTGAATTTAACGATAGCACGACACCAAAACACTGGAAAATGTTACGCGAAATGAAAATACACGTTACTGCGATCTCAGTTGGTACGCATGCAAATATGAAATTCTTACACCAACAAAAGAATATAAGTTTACATAGAGCTGGAGTTATATGAAAGGAATCACGCGCTGCACGTTCATGAATACAGTCTACTACAAACCCTACATTGATACTGATACAGATGTTTCTATATTATGTCACAATTATGCTTCGCTCATCTAAACATGGCGGTCCTTCAACAGTTGTATCATGCTGATCCTAAATGTAATTGTAAAATCAATATTTCGTTCTAAAATAAATTAATTGAGAAGTGTGTAAATTATATGTGTATATTACAACTGTTTATGAGTCCCTTTAATGTTTCGGAATTACGACGGCAACAATAAAAATTATAGACGTATTTTTCATGCGAAACATTTATTAACACAGACAAGGTTATTTAATGACAATGATAACGTTTACATTGGAAGTAATGCTTCTCTTTTCTCACAACTTCCCTTCAAGTAGTACTTGAGTAGAAATGTAACAGATCTCTTGCCAGGCATACTGTATATCTGCGCTTTCCGTGTTCTTAGAACAGACAGCAAATCTGATGACAAACATTTCCTTAAATCGAGTTGGTGTTAGGGTAATCTTTCCTCGTTCGTTGATCAGACGTAAGACTTCTTCATTCAGAGTGTCCGAGCCCTACACAAAAATAACTAACAAGTACGGAAGGAAATACACTGAAGAGATGTTTGTCATTAAGCACAAAGCTACACAATGGGCTATCTGTGCTCTGCCCACCACGCGTATCGAAACCCGGATTCTAGCGTTGTAAGTCCGCAGACATACCTGGGGGGGGGGGGCTGAAGAGATGTAATAGTAACTCAAGTTCGAACCTAACGCTGGCCTAGTTACGCCTTTTCCCATCTATAAGTGTGCTATTGGATGAACCCTGATGTGTATATCAAACTACATCTATATCTACTATATACAATGTGTACCGCTCGAAGAAACCTGGCATGGCCTGATGGTTAGGCTTGTAATCTGCGAGTCGTGGGTTCGAATCCTATCCCCAAACATGCTCGCTCTTTTAGCGTGTATAAACATATATAGAGGCATTATAATGTGGCAGTCGATACCTTTCTTCCTTGGTAAAGACTATTCCAAGAGTTGACAGTGGAAGGTGTTGGCTAGCTAGCTGCCTTCCCCCTAGTCTATGGCTTTAAAGCTAGGGACGCCTAGCGCAGATAGTGCTTGGGTAGCTTTGCGTGAAATTCAAAAACAAACAAACTACCCGAAGAGAACGCAACTTCAAAAATCATATCCAGATTTACACAAATTTGGTATCGTTTCTTTGTTTTGTTTTTAACACAAAGCCATATTGGTTTATCTGCCATGTCCACAACGGGAAATCGAACTCCGAATTTTAGCGTTGTAAATCCATAAACTTTTCGTTGTCCAACCAGGAGACAATATATTTGTTAATGAACTTAAAAGTTAGTTTTATTCAAAGGTTAAAGAACATAGTTTTGAGCTTCAGTTCAATACATTGTGAAATTAGTATTAAAAAAAAAAGAAAAAATTGATAAGCCATTAAAAGGATACTTGTCGGATTGAAGAATTTAGCTTTATATTAGAAAATGTGCACTTTAACACAGGAAAAAAAGGAGGTTCATATTTGAATTTTTCCTAATGGTCTAGGAGCTAGGGAGCTTGACTAACAGTCTGTGGGTCGCGGGATCGTTTCCGAACATACTGCTCTTTTAGCCATGGGGGAGGTATAATGTGCGGTCAATCCCATTATTCGTTGCTGAAAAGTATCCCAAGAGTTGATAGTGGGTGGCGTTGACTAGCTGCCTTCTTCTAGTCTATCACTTCGAAATTAGAGAAGACATCGCAGATAGCCCTCGAGTAGCTTTGCGCGAAATTCAAAAATAAACAACAAACATTTTGCTTAATTGGAGACACTTTCTGGGATGATTTCCTTCCCGGAAAACATTGCTCTAAAATAGGCACCATTTCCGAAAATCGGCGTCTACTGATCACCTTAATTCAAAGATATTTACAAAGCGTATTACACAGCAGACAAAAGAAAATTTACAATATTAACATTAGTAATTTTTAACATTGGTTCTTCATTAACTTTACTTATACATTAATTATCTACCACTAAAATAGTTTGAGTATTGTTAAGATCGCCACAGAAATTGAGATCCAAATGTTATTAACTCATATATATTGACAATTATTTGATTAAACAATGAATGAGGGGGTTTACACCTCTCTCTCCTAATTTAATAATCCAGTTATCGGTATAAAATGTCACCATAAACATTGTGATGGTAAAGCATAGCCTAAGTTTTAGTTAGACAAAAATTGATTCTCACCTTTAATCTAAAACAAACCAGTCCTAAAATAACAGGAAATACGATTTCAAATCTTTGGTCCTTTGTGACTAGTTCTTCAAATTCATGGGCCAAACCAACGTGCTGGAAAAGACAAAATAAGAATGTAATGATAAAGCAACGACGATAAAGATATCATATGAAACAGTTAAACAAATGATAAAAATTGGTTAATTCTGTTGAGTTGTTGTCGTTATTGTGTTTGAAAGGAACAATATCAACCATATTATAACACTTGTGATAATTATCCGACATTAAATAACGATTAAAAGCTGTTAATCTGTGCCGTAATTATCTCTGACTTTGAAGACATCAATGCAACAGCAGTAATGTTTAAATTCAGCCTCAGGCTAGTGATTTAATTTGTTTAGAAACAAAAGGTGGGTGGAATTGTTAGTACTCAACTCCCTATGATCAAACTTATTTAAGGCCGTAATTATCTCTGACGTTTGAAGACACCAATGCAACACTAGTATATTTAAATTCAGCCTCAGGCTAGTTATGTAATTTGTTTAGAAACAAAAGGTGGGTGGAGTTGTTAGCACCCAACTCCCTATGACCAAACTTATTTAAGGCCTTAATTATCTCTGACGTTTGAAGACACCAATGCAACAGTAGTATATTTAAATTCAGCCTCAGGCTAGTGATTTAATTTATTTAGAAACAAAAGGTGGGTGGAGTTGTTAGCCTATGGTCAAACCAGAGAAGGCAAGGACACCAGGTAGCCCATTGTGTAGCTTTGGGCTTAATTGCAAACAAACAAACGAGGACACTCTGGTAATTAGACAGTCAAAAAATCACTTTCATCGTGAATAATTGTACGAAGTAAATTTCTTCATCTAAGAGTCTGTAACCGCCGTTGTTTCGAGTTACAAATAAAATATTCAAGTGCTACAAGCTATTAAGTTTGGTTGACACAAAGAGCATTGCATTATAAATGTAGATATTTTCAGAACAAGATATTTTGTAAAATCAAATATATAAAAGTATGTTAGTAGATTAACTGTATTTTATAAGAATCATAGAATTATTCATAAAGCACGTAAGCTGTATATCGAGCCATTTGGGAATGACAAGGGAAGTTCGATCATAATTTTTAGAAACTTCTAGAGTGTCTCAGGGCATTCTCTTTACAGTTATACGAATAAAAAATAATCTTGCTTTAAAGTATTTAGTGCTCTATCAAAATATATATAATTTGCTATTTGTGAAACAGCTTTAGTTAGAGTTGAATTTCCTGTAATGACGTGGGGTCGTAGCCTTGATTTTTGTTGGTGTTTAGTCCCAAGGTCGTTTACGACGTTTGGAACACCTTAGATGCTAATGCCTCATCAATGATTCTTGGGCAGGTTTACCTGTTAGCACCCATCTCTTCTCCAGGTTGCCGATCCTACTTTATCAGGGAGAGACAAGCGAGAAGTTAACACCACCCACCGCCAACTCTTAGGCTACTCTTTTGCCAATGACTAATGGAATTTACTGTCACATTATAATGTCCCCATGGCTAAAGGGGCGAGCATGATACGAACGCGCGACCCATAGATTGCGAGTCGAGCGCCCCAACCGCCAGGCCTGTAGCATCAACAGATTATGAAATATACGTGTCATACATAAAAATGCTAATATATCAAGCAGATACTACAAGAAATTTCCATAAATACTACAACATTAATTAATTTCAAACATAAAAAATTTACGCATTTGTAGTATCACAAAAGAACAAAACCTTAACTTTAATCATGATGAATAATTAAGAACAATGGAGGTACTTATTCTTCATAGTATTTGACAAAATCACTGATTTCGTAACATAAAATACTCTGCTATATGTTTTCTCGCTCTCTCTCTCGTAAGGGCGGGAACTTTAGCGTAAGACTTGCGTAACTATGAGAAAAAAGTTATTGAAATAAAAGTTATAAAAACTCAAAGTCCTTTAACATAAAAACGAATTAGGACACAGCTAAACAAAGCATTTTACATTTCGGGGAAATTCGTTAGCTGTGTTTTACTATTGTCATAATAATACATTAATGTCTACAAATTTAACTTTCATACTCCCAAATTCCGAACATTACATCAACTGCCGCCACCAGTGGATCAGCGGCAAGTCACAGTGCTAAAAATCGGGTTTTGTTCCCCGCGGTGAGTAGAGCAAACAAAGAAATACAACATCTTTAAGTTTGAAACTTAGTTGAACGGACGGCAACTGCCTGTTTTAGAAACACAAGTGTAGAGGACGACATTTCGAAAGTCTTCCGCCTGACCTGAAAACGAAAGGCGGAAGACTTACGAAACGTCGTCCTTTTCACTTGTGTTTCTACAACAGTCAGTTGCCGTCCATTCTACTAAGTTTCAACATGAATACTCTGCTTAAACAATATATCTAAGAATCTTTAAGTTTATAAGAAATGTAATTTTTTTTTAGCTTTTCTGAGAGGTGGTAACGCTAGAAATCGGGTTTCGATACCCGTGGTTGGCAGAGCACAGACAGCCCATTGTGTAGCTTTGTGCTTAACTTCAAACAAACAAACAGAGAAGTGGTTCCTGAAGTAATCTAAAAGTTTAAAAATATTAAGATATTTGTGAATTACAAAGAAGCAAGTTTTTCCAACGACGAGGAAGAAAGGATAAGAAGGAAAAACAGTTGATGAAAATGAGACAAGAAAAACAAAAGAAAGAAGAATTAACTGCAGCTAAATGCAGTTGTTTCAGTGAAAGTATTTTTAATGGTTTTAATTTATTGGCCGAAATCACTATAATTCAAATGTAAGCCACAAAATTTGAAATATATTTCTGGATATAATTCTTTTATGACATTAAAATTTCCTGGGACTTTTTTGTAACACGTAATTTATTGTTATTAAATTTGTTTGTTATTCTAGAATTTTTGTGCAAAGCTAAACAAGGCTTCCCTGATAGACAAGAGGGAGGCAGTTAATCAACAACACTCGCCGTCATCTCTTGGTATATTCTTATCAAGCAGAATAGTGGAATTTGAAGGTCACTAATATAGCGCACCAATGCCCCCAAAGTGAGGAACGCGTTTTTGCGGTAACGAGAAAGA